CTATCACCCGCCCCACGACTGTCGTATGCCACAAATGGCCTCGAAAAAAGTGCGCTTACAAAACGGCGGATTTCTCCTTCTCTACTCTGCCCGCACCCGCTTTCAAAAGTTAATAACCGCAAGTTAAGCAAATGTATGCTACATCCTATTTCTATCATAATTATTCCATTATTGTTTACTTGTTTATCTTTAAAGTGTATTTAGTGTATGAACAGCACTCTACCCTTAATTAACTTCACTTTGCCCTTGTATTGTACCTTTAAATTTCTTTGTAGCTCAAGAAATAACATTCTAAAGCATTCAAAGCTAAAGGTGACTTTTTAAAGTACTAACGCTCGTAGAGAGTTATTTTTGGCTAAAGGTGACTGTAAGGGAGAAAGCTGGTTATTGTTGGACGAGTCAGATTTTGGTTTTAGAGAAGCTCGGTAAGCATTTATCAAAGCTTTTTTTTTCACCTAAACAGTTAGTATGATCGCAAAACTTTGTTAACGAATGTCTTTGACTTTGTTAAATATTATGCATAATTCACTTTTGGTGTAATTTTTATATCTTTGAGGTAGAAGCCATATTAGCTATACCTGGGTCTCATAGATCTTGTCGAGCCGTGGATCATTGGGTGCATTTGGCAGGAAAACAGCTCCAAGTTTCTGTGGATATCCACGAGGATTAAATGAGTGCACACTGCTTTGAGAAATCTGTAAATAAGCTATATTAACATCGATCAATGATTAATGCCACAAATCTTACTCTGTATCGACTCCAGAATATGCATACTGCGCATATTCCGATCACAGCACCGACAGCAATAAGGATAGCCAAGCCTATCAACACTGGAAAGAAACCCTTTTTGATATGTTCCCTATAGGATAATTGAAAAAAATATTGGAAACTCACTTATGCTAGCCGTCTTCCAGTTGCTGGGCAGCATACCACCTGCAGCATCGTTGTCATCAACGACATCTTCGGCAATCTTCTCAAGCCGGAACCATGGTTGAACTTTGCCAGCTACCATTGCTATTGATGGCGTTTCGAAGAGCTTTCTAGAAGTTTTGAAGTATTTCTTACTTTAAGCTTAACGAACTTGTAATCTCTACGTTTAGAAATTTAAAACATCATTGGGAAACTTTTTCTTGACATAAGTTTACTTTAATGCAAGATGCATGCAGAACTTATTTCTACAAAATTGTTTGAACTAAAGGGAGTCGTTACATGTAAGCTTAAGTAACACACTATCAGAAAAAACACAAAATTCTTCAGTGTAGTATTTGTTGTTTTTATCAGAACAGTTTTTTCGTAGGCTTTACAAGCTTGAAGAAAGTGCTACTAGTGAGAGAGAGAATTGCTTGAGTTTGGGCTGAGCTATGCACCAAGTGCGTCCCAAACTGCCGACTGGCAAAAGCTATCGCTCCTAAAGTCCACCATTCATCTTCGCTTACCTGTACTCATGCTTCTTACAAATCTTCTTCGTACTTGGATTCACTGCATACCAGTAAATATCCGTTCGAACCTGAAGAACATTTTAATGGTTAAAAGGGGGTTTTCTTTTAAATCAAATGACATGTTTGTTACCTGATTATCGGAGGAAGGTTGTTCGACCATGCTTTCGATGCTTAGCAGGGTACAGGAACCCGTAAA